AGGAAATAATATTGTGAAATTCCTCAAAATTAAACATTAAAATCTTTAGTTTTTGTACAGGGTGCTCATTAGTGTCGAGTGGTTACCGTGTCATTTCTCTTGCTACTATTTATCCAATTGTAACACAATGCTATGATACCATATACTTGAATGATTTCAGTTGTTTATAAATGTTTATTCGGAGACTGCGTGATTATATGATGTTATATTAACTGATATTAACTAATATCATTTAATAATCCTGTATAACATTGTATGATTTATCAAAATAAAATCTCATGCATAATGGAGTTGGTTTGCTATGGTTTTTCCTGAGTAAGTATTGTATTCACATTCGCCTATGATTTTTGCGTATGTATTGACTAAAAACTAATACACCAACTCTTTGACATTTATGACTAGGAGGTTTGAACCGTTACCTGGTTTGTGAATATCCTTTTGCGATGAATTCAAAAGTCATCACGATGAATCACAAGTCTATTGTGTCACTGTTTCACAGTGTACTTTCAATAAAGTTTAGAAAATGAAATAAAGCAAGTCCAGTTTAAGAAGAAAAATGTTTCAGAAGTTAAAACTCTGTCTAAACTTTATTTTTCGTTTAATGTCAATGCATAATCACAAAATTTTATCCTTTCTATTGAAGAACAATAAGTTGAATAGACAATTTTGTTAATATGAGACTATAAACTAGAGCTTCTGTCTCATTTGAGTAGTGTGGTGAGTTGCATTCAACTGATTTAAGCTCATAGACTTTGTTTGACGTGAAATTCATTTTCCATATGAAATAACACAAGAAACCAATGAAGTCAGATTCATAATATTTCCTGATTTCAAATCATCAAAAGCCAAAATGAGTAAAATTCCCTTTCCTTATTCATATTTTCTACAATCTTTTTTGTGAGGGATAAAAAATTACTCACAAAGTCCCATACATAGCAGATAATTTCAGATACATAATTTTAACTCATGTCTACGTTTCACTCCGTGCCAACGCTTTTCGGATAATCTGGTCAGATCTTGATCTGATTTAGTATATAAAGCGGGTAATTTTCGATTTAGATATCCACTGGTTTTTTTCTCCTGTATTAAAAACTATTCACCTAATTCTGATTGCTTTAATGTACAAAGGAGTAATTAAACTTTTTTAAAACATTCTCACAATGTGCCTACATATATTTTGCTTCAAACTGTGAGTAAATTATCGGTTTTACTACAGTGATTTTAATACATAAGTGTTGCCCAGTAATTATTTTCATAAGGTTAACTTTTTTTCAAGAATAAATTATTGAAAACATAAGCAAATTTCTGAAGGCAATTTTTCAGTCTAATTATAACTGGAACGAACCACTTCTACTAGTAATGAAAATTTTTAAGACACGCATACTACTGCTTGTTCAATAGTTCCTTCAATATAGCACAGATCCGTAGTTGGCTTCACTATGATTTCCAAAGACTGAGGTCTGATAATATGCACATGAAACTAGTAGCAAATATAAAGCTACCAAAATAACACTTCATCGAGGGTTGCGAATATCGAGCATATTTTACGTTTATAAACTGTGATGCCAATATATAAACCAAAATATGCTTCGATGTGTTTGTATACGCTTAGAATGGATCCGCTCTCCCAAGCTTAATTTACACTGAACTCAAATGAAACCAGTTATTTTATTCGGTATTTATGATAAAAGAATGTGCAAGAGACCCTAGTCAACTTTTATTGTTTCTTTTTGTTGGCTATTCAGAACAGTAACATTTCATGCCGGACATTGCGTTTTTTGCAATGCGCATAAATTAGTGTTTTAAAAGATTGCTGTTTAGGAGAAAATTTCAAATTCTAAGAGAGATTATTGCACCGTTTTAACAGAACCTGCTGTTCAAAGCATTTTTAAAGTCTTCTTAGACTTGAGACATGAATACTTATAAATAAGTTCCGTATGCTGATGACATAGTAAGTATATCATAATTAAATGATCTGGTCAACTCTGTTTCTCAATGAATACAAGAGGCTTTGACAGAAAGATTACTTGTTTCTGAGTTTAATTAAAGTCTACCAAAATGGTATGGTCCGGCTGTAATGAAAATATTCCCCAAAAGTGTATATAAAGACAAAAGGTAAGATACAGCATGACTTCCGCATTTTAAGAGAATCGAATGAAATTATTAACTTTTTTAGATGACATCATTTAATGTTTCAAAACTAGCCATTATAGTACATAGATTTCTGCAACTTACTTTAGTTCGAATTCCTGATATTTGTCTTTTTTTATTTTAAGTTCACTGGCTAATATACATAATAGTGACTATGGAGTGTAAAAACACCGTTGACCTTGAACGCATATCCTTTGTTGCGTTACAGAACCTGCCGTTACTACAGTGCCAGCATGAATACTTTGCACTGAGTGAGGTGCGAATATAATCGTGATCTCGTTTTTAAGTACTTTTTGGACAATGGGTTGATAGCTCCTTAGGGTTGGTATTAGTACTAGGGTTAAGACTATGGTTAGGATTACGGTTAAGATAAGGGTTGGGGCAAATATAGGGGTTGAGGTAACTGTTAAGGATATGTTGTCCATATAGATGAAATCGTTTTGATAGCTGCAAAATCTGAGAACTTATACTCTTCATTGCAATTGGGAAGTACTTGTCATTATTTTAACTGTTTTTGTGAATAAACTGCTTTTTGATACATTATACACGTCAGGTTGTGTAATCCAAAGAACAGTCTGCGTTCAAGGCTATTGATGCGTTTATACACCGTGGTCAGTATTCGTTATGTTTGCCATTTCACTTATACTCTTTTTATTATTTCAGTAGATTTTTAGTTTTTTTTTCTTGTTCTGATTGGTATTTGCTTGTGGTTGTAAACTGTTGGCTATATTTTAACCGATTGCACTTTTATAGAAGAATATGCGTGTTTATTTTCTGTGTTGTTCGTATCACAAATTAACATCCCTAATTGTAATAAAAAGTTGCTTTGCAGTATAAACCACTGTTTCCCGAAGCATACATATGTCATGCGAATTTTAGTTTTCACATTATTTACACAGGAATAAATAAGCTTTCTTTTCTTTCATTGAGTTCTATGAATTTTTTTTTAAGCCAAAGTTTGTTAAAAATTCAATGTTCAATTAAAATTCCAATTAGGTTTAGTTTTAAGTCACAAGAGAAATAAATTTTTATGTAACGAAAATGTTGATAACAATGTAAATAATATTATGTGAAAAATAACGATGCATGTGTATTTAAAATTTAATGTTGTGTACAAGTACTTTTTCGTTTTCTGTGATGAATAGTGTGAAGTGTAATTAGCCTAGGACTATTCGTTGTTACTGCTTGAAGATTGAAAATATGAATACGTTTAATTTTATATGAGTGCATTCATTGAGTGTACATATTTAGGTATTCATTCAAACCTAGAGCAGAAGCTATGAATAATGCCTAAAAAAGAATTATTTTAATTACATTATTTTGCTATGTAATAAAAAAAATCACTTCCTGCATATCCCGCACTCTGTTTGGTCCCCAAATTATAGCCAGTGCTAACAGCCAATACCAGTAGTCAGTTTTCAGAGAAATTTCTATTTACTTTGTTGAAGAACATTTCCTGTTTAGGTTCATTTGAGACGTTACAATTTATGGTTTTGTATGATGGATTGTTTTCCTCAGGAAACTTCAACTTGCTATAATCCTGCTTTTACTGTTATTATCATCAACTGGAGGAAACCTTTTGCCTATTTATCAACATACATAGACTTCATGGCCTAGAAAAATCGACACAGCAAAGTAGCTGCTGGTTATGTAATCTTTCGAAGTCTTATTTTAGCTAATTGCTTTTATTATATCTCAACAACACCAGAAAATGGAAGAAAAGCATGATTTTTGACTCTCTGTGAAAGTAAATGGCAACAGTTGACTGATAGTAACCCACAGTAAAATGGTCGTTTGCAGAGATATTTTTCGCATTTTATAATTTTCCTTCTTTACTTGATATAAGCTAATGTTCATCTCCTCAACTGTTCGGTCAGACGTTATGTAATTCATTCTTGAGAATCTTCGACATATGATAGCTTTAAGAATACACTTCCGATAAGTTGTTCACATGTATTTATCTGTAGGAAGTGGAATAATAAAGCACGATTATTCCGGTGCTTAAATGCTGGAAAATTATTGAAACATCTTGAACATTTTCACCTCCTTTACACCCGAAATTTGTAATACAAGTTTAAAAATAAATTGAACGGTTATTCATGGATTCTTTGGTATATTTGCATACCGTAGATGACTGCTTAGTAGAACAACTTGGAAAAGCAGATATTCTGAGGATGCCAGAATTCTACACAGAAGTGATATTTAGTTGATTGAAGATGTGTTTTCAAATAGTGAATTAGAAAAAGAAATGAATTTAATTGGCATTTTTAGTTTAATTGTAACTTCAGTTAAGCGGAAGACATAGAGAAAAGAAGTCAGTGTTTTAAAATAGTAAGACTGTATCTTTTTTAGAGTGAAATGAATTATTTTTCAAATACTGGTTTTGTAGGGGTTTTGTTTGATTGGTTGGAAGATTTTATCATGAGCTGACATCAGTCATAAAATTGGCAGAAGTTAGAATTCATGAACCATCGAATAAGCTGCCAGTGGCTGAATGGTCTACGAGCTCGCCTTGTAACCAGGAGTTCCTAGGTTTGAACCGTAGTGGCGAGTGTGTACTGCTGACAAGTCCCAGACTTATGTAAAAAAGTTGTCCAGTACTCCATGCAGGCTTTTCACTGGTTTTCTAACTTCTGACTTCAAATCATGATAAAATTAATTAATTTCAGAAAATGGGGTTCGTAATAAAGAATTAATCAAATAAATTCTTACTGTTTACCAGATAAATATAAGTATGTTGTTTACTTAGGAATTTCAAAATGATATGCCTACATCTGTGTTTGAATGACTTCTTGAATATTTTATGAGCTTAGCACTAAATTATGTTTCTCATTTTACAAATACTTTAGTAATCTCAGTCCAGAAGAACTACTCGACAGTCCAGATCTTAAAATTCATTCTGCAAAAGTCATGAGAGTGATACATAAAGCAGTTGAAGCGTTAAATGGCGACAGTAAGTCATTGTATGAGGAATTGGTTATTCTTGGAGCAAAACATGCAGCTATAGCCGATATGAAAATAGAATATTTCAAAGTTGGTTTAAAATTTTAAATTTTTTTCTGATTAATTATCATTTTGATATTGCCATTTATCTTTACTACACTACCAGTGACACATTTAGCAAACAGTTGATGCACTAAGTTTATTCTGGAAAAATATCTGCATTCTATCATGATTAAATACATACATTAATCATGAGTATAATTAACAACAGAGATTCATTCTACAAAGAGGTATTTCTTCTCAACGGCTTAAATTTTGAACCGTAAAATAGGATTAACGTTATATAAACAAGGCCAGATATTGAATACCTCCATGATATAAAACATGTTAGAGGAATAAAGTTGAAATGCGTGAAATACTGAAAAGGTTATTGAAGAAAGCAGTTTGTACTGAGACAGATAAGGTGTATGCGACACCATCAATAAAACTGGAATCACTATAATGACAAAAATAATGTAAGAGGCATCAAAAAACAATAATAAGACGAAGGTGAAGGGAGTGTCTTAGCAAAACTTGCTGGGAAACTTCACCTGGACTTGAATTCAGCGAAAGCCTACGATTTTCAGATGCTCTAGCAGAGAGAATCCGCCTGCATCGTTCAATGAAGAAACCTCCATTGGGGTATAGGGTAAACTAAGAGTAAACAAATGCCTTAATTTGTCATTCACCTGTTGTTGAACCGTACGACGATTGAGGCACATTGGAAATGAATTTGATGCATTTAGGGGGCTTATAGAGGCTGCTTTCGTTAGTTCAGTCTTTGCAAAAAATCCTCATCTATCCCCTTTAAAATAACTATGGTCTAACTCTTCTTCAATCACGAAACATACAGGTAGGAAAACCTTTGTTAGATTATTCGAAAAGTTTAGCAGTTGAACTACTTTTAAGTTGAATAGTTGAAATAACATCCGTGTTTTGTTTTTAAACAAATGAAGATTGGTGACCATATTCATATCAACTATGAACTTTAAAATAGTGGAAAAGATGCGGATGTAATCTGTTAATGTATTATGTGGGAAGAAGATAGTAATGGAGTTCGAGATTCAAGTTTTGTCTAGTTTGTGATTGTTTCTCAATGGATTAACAATGCCTCTACCAAGACTGAGATGAAATGCTCATCTTTCTATTCAGAAAAGCATTGTCGACTAAGCTACTTTACCAATGTTTCACATGCTTATTGTATGCAATCAGCACATAGTGAATATAAGAAGCATTCTTTGTACTAACATATTTCACGAATAATATTAAGAGTTATTAAATCAGCTAAATTTCTGAATAAATATTCATAAAAGTCGCACTTTATGAAGTTGAATTCTAGTGTCATACCGATCATGGTCTCAAGTGTTTCAAAGTAAAACAGGTAGATCTCTTGATCCAAAAGGTTTTGTGCTCCACAGAACTTACTTTTCAAAGTGGTTTTCAGCTTTACTAAGACATTTTTCATTCTCTTTAGCTCTTTGCAGTATTTGACGAGATAAATTTCCCTTGAAAAATTAATCTCAGTAGTGTCGTTTCTTACCATGTGGAGTTAATTACCTGTTTGTCCATATGAATCATTAAGAATAACGACCATCCTAAACTAGGACTATGCTATTCCTGTGTAATATGGTTATTTAAAGAGGAACAGGTGAAAAATAGCAGCTTACAATTGTTAGTCACTTGGGTGTAACAGATATCATATGCCTAGTGTTTACAATTAACATGATTGACTGAATCCACTCAGCATTAAAGTTTAAACTTTTGAATTTAGGTGAGTGTTTATGAAATTGAAGAATGGTACACAAATGTTGAGCGTATTTCTCCAATTATTTCATAATAAATTATAAAGAAATTATAAATGGCTTGGACATTTATTTAGTCTTCAGTTTATTTAATATTCATGCGAAGAAACACTTAAACTCTGATAACTTTTTGTAAACAAACGATAGTGAAAAGTAATAGAAATCTAATTTAATGTGAGAAATGTTGGATCTATTCACATATCTAAATTGAGAAATAAAACTGAAGATTTATGAACTCACTTATCAGTCAATAATTTTATTTTACTACAGTATTAATGTTATGATAATTAAAAGACGATTGTGGAAATGTGGTTCATTTGCCTAAGCTGTCAAAGTGTAGCCACTGGAAATCATGTCCAAATTTCTTTTCATTCACCTCAGATTATTCAAATGGAGAGTATCGTCAACTCTCACACAAAGAATGTGCTGCATAGCCTGGTGCATGATAAATCTGTTCCGTAGAACTGGTTTATAGCAATATTTGTTAAAATATTGGTTACTACTATCGGGATACATGTTTATTTATACGCATGCATTTACTTCGCTTTTTCAGATTATTAAAGAAGCCATCCTAATGACCTGGGGACGTTTGATCTATGAAGAATTCACCGATGATGTAAGAAAAGCTTGGGGACATGTCCTAGATGAAGTGGTTGCAATAATGACAGAGGGCTGTCTAATTTTTGAAGAAGAAGAAGAAAAAATGCTCGAAGAGGATGACACCTGTCAAGATCTCAATTCTGTACCGAATGACGAACATCATTGTGTAAAAGAGAAGAAAACCAACCGAACAAGTGTTGCAACTGTTCCAAAAGAAGAACTTGCCCAAATCTATCCAAGTTGTAAATAATACTGACAGTATTAATAACAGTATTATTGAAATAGGGTCATGCACTCATTATCTTAGTCGTTTTGATTTTTCAGTCAGTAGATGCTACTTTTGTCTGATTACCCGACAGTTGGATGTCAATCAACCTCATTGAGTAATAATTTATGTGTAAAGACTTTCATTAACATTACATTACGTACTTATTCATCATTATGTTCATCATGATTCTTGTTTTTTTTGCACTCGTATATTCATATTTTTGCATTCACATGATAATAAAAAAAAATTCTTTGAAGACAAAACTCATTGATTTGTGTGAAACTTTTTATATTCAAACTAGACTAAATCTGGGGGATTTTCAAAATATGGAGGCAGAGAATTTGTAACTTTTCTCCAAAATAATTATCTTATCAAACTGTCTGCTAATGTCTTCGTTTATAAAAGTAGACTTGATGTAAACGACTGGTGATTGATGTTACAAAGTATAGCTGTGCGTTTTCAGAAATCTAGCTGGTTTTCAAACAAGTTACAGGCTGATTTTGTGGAGAAATCCATCTAAGAAGCACCTGGAACCATGTTAGACGAATTTTTGTATAAACTAAAGTAGATTCAAAGTTTAAGAATCTTGTAGTTTATTCGACAAGGCGCCTGGAGAATGGTTGTCAATATACTAATAATTTTATTTCGAGCACAAACTTTATCTGAGATAACAAAAACAATCAGTCCCTTTGACAAATTTGAATAAGGCATTTAGAAGACAAATTTCGCGAGATGACATCATTTCGTAGTTTCTTTACAACCGCTTTACAACTAAAATGGTTAACAATAATAAAATAAAGTTCATGACAATTACTCAGCTTAATAAAAAACAAAAGTACATACTAATGAGCAGTCATATTTAGATAGGTCAAGTAGTCCATGGTAGGCGAAAGTTGAAGTTTATTGTTTTTGTACACATAGTTTATGATGTATGTGATTAATCCAAAGTGCTCCCATCACCTTCAATAACCTTGAATTAGAATTATGTGAAATAATTGTGAGACAATCATTACATTGATTTCGTGACCTGACATTAATAAGTGTTTTGCAATGGATGATGCTGGATTTCTGTTCAGATCCATCGCGTTGGGATTTTCTCTGTGATTTAGTAGCCATTTTGGAACATGTTCTTTTCAACGATATTGAAACATTTTATTTGTTCTACCTATATAGCTGTAACCGCAACTATAGGTGAACTTGTAGATACAGTTTTGAAGCAGAGTCCACAGAATTTCGTCCTTTAATCGTAGGTACAGGGATCGAAAATGTTCGGCATGTGAGAGAAAGAGATGCGGCGTAGAATGTGCGTTTGATGGCTGACCAAAGTCTCTGAGCCCTCAACTGCATAAACTAGTCACCCTTGAATTGTAGGTTAATAAAAAAAATAGCTTTCTTTGGTACAGAAGCTGTCTTTTCGAGATGTGGTCTTTCTTTTCTGTGACAAGTGATAAAGTTCTCCAGATAACCGTATGTCGGAACTCATTCATCACTGTGTTACTCGTGCATATTTTTCGGGCCCTTGAGAATTTTGTCTTCTAAAGGCCTTATTCAAATAACTTTATCGTAAATATTGAAATTATTTATCTCCTTTTACAATTGAATAAATAAATAAATAAAACAGTGAAAATAATAAAACTAGAAAAACTTGAAATAATACAAAATTAATAGATGTAATACTAATAATAATGCTAGTATTGAAATGTTGTTTATTTACAAGTTTAAGAGTAGTTTTACTAATTCTTTGATGACATTTTGCTCTTCACACAACATCCATGATACATATGGTTTGATAGAAATTTAAATATTTAGATGTAGGAACATGAACTCCTGTGAAAATTCTTCTGATTTAACCCAAAGAGATATAAGAAAGCATTTGTGAATAAAGAGGATGTTCAGTATTTAACAACATGACTACAACTGACTACTTGTAAGAATTAAAGTGCATATCAACAACTCTGTCATTTAATTGAATTAGAAGCAGAACACTAACCCTGGTAACAGCCTTCAAAGTTCTGTATACTACAATGTAGACAGTGAAAAAGAATAAGAGGAAATAATATTGATGTATGAGTAGAATCTACGAATTAATAAATTGTAGAAGAGGATGACTTATTCCAGGACGTCTAACCTTCCTTATGTTGTAAGTTAAAAAAAGTTTTTATTAGAAGTCAACAAGATATAAGACAACCAGAAAAGGTTTTAATGGAAACTGTTTCACAGATAGGCAATATTCAACATAAATCTTGATTCTCTGCCGTCTGTATTACGAGAATCATGGGATTAAATCAACTCCCTTATGACTTGTTCCTGCCTAAAACCAAAATTAACAGTCTGAAACTTAGAGCGATTAAGTTTAACACTGTCTGAATAACATTACATACAGTATACTGTTTGAGTGTTAACTAAACACTGACTTGAGATAAAATTTATCTGCTTGATGATAGTTAGCCGCACAATCTAGATGGCCTGTCTCATCCCATTCTAGTGTCATAAAGCGGGTGAGCTCACATCCGAAGTGATTGCTGGTGTTCTCGCGAAAACTCGAGCTCAGCACATATCGTTTCAAATACCAAAGAATTATCACTGTATAAGATTCATTTGTTTACTTCAAAATATTATTTACAAATAAGTTGTATATTTTGTAAGACTTGAAGACAACTCTGTAAACTAACTGGAAGGGGATGCACTCCATCACTCCGTAGGTGAAATCTTAAAGAAAAATGCTTGGGTACTCAAGCCTGAAGTCCTTATCGATAATCTCAAAGAGGTGTAATAAAGAAATCAGATATGTCAGACTAGTAATATTAGTCAATAATTACTCTCTACTGCACAATTCGAGCACTTATACCATCAACTCTACGACCTGAAGCCCTTAGACGAAGATAAAAGAGGATGGCTAAAGTCTAAACTTGTTGATATTGCTAACCAATACCACATATCACCAATGGAGAAGCAGAAGATGCTGACCGAAGAGCATAGAATGGCTCTGAAGAAACTATATGAAAACGATGAAATCGTCATATTTAGACCTGACAAAGGCTCTGGGGTTGTTATAATGAACAAAGCTGATTATATACATAAAATGATGACAATTCTAAACGACAAAGAAAAATTCCAAGTAGACAACAAAAAAGATGCCACAACGTCATTTGAAAATAAAGTTAATAAATGTCTCAAAGAACTTCTAATGAAGAAACTAATCAACAGCGAAACATATAATAAACTGAAGTCAAAAGGTGGACGCCTGCCGTCTATGTACGGCCTACCAAAAATTCATAAAGCAAATGTGCCATTAAGACCAATCCTGTCAATGATTGACTCACCATGCCACAAGCTAGCTCGATGGTTAGCTGATTCTATAGAGCCCATTCGAATTAAATTTGCAACCCACAGCCTGAAGGATAGTTATCAATTTTCCAAGGAAGTTGACAATATCGACATATCAGACAAACTCATGGTATCGTATGACGTGACCTCCTTGTTTACAAATGTACCACTGATGGAAACAATTGATATAATTTGTAAACAAACGGATCTACTACCATTACCGGAAACAGAGATGAAGCGACTTCTACTGCTCTGCACAAAAGATATACAATTCAAATTCAACAATCAACTTTACCGACAAACCGATGGGGTCGCGATGGGTTCGCCTCTGGGACCTATCCTGGCTGATATCTTCATGGGCTACCTTGAGCAGACACAACTAAGTTCTGCTATCAATGGAACTACCTACTATCGCCGATATGTTGATGACACATTTGTTGTTTGCAACGATATGGATCACGCATCGGCACTATATGATCGCCTAAATGAGATACATCCAAATATCAAATTCACCATGGAATATGAACATAATAATGAGTTCAATTTCCTGGATCTAAATGTAAAAAGAACAAACGAAGGCACGGTCGAAAAGTCCATCTATAGAAAAGAAACCTGGACTGGACAATATCTTCACTATAACAGCTTTTGTCCCATAAGCTATAAACGTGGATTAGTGAGGACTTTGTATGACAGAGCCAGGAAGCTATGTTCACCAAACAGGGTCGAAGAAGAATTAGTTTTCGTCGAGAAATGCCTAAGGGAAAATGGATACCCTAAGGGATTTATTCAGAAGTACAGCAGAGAAAAAGATGAGAAAGAAAAGCATCCAACTGTAGAAAAGAAAAAAGTGTTTATCTGTCTACCATACAAAGGAGATGCAGTGTCACAAAAGATTGACAAAAGACTGAAAGGTGCAATAAATAGAAGCTTCCCAGCAGCAAAACTCATAACAGTATACAGCACCACTCCTTCTTTAATCCACTCAAAACTGGATAAATACCCTGCTGATGTCACCTCCAACTGCGTTTATGAATTCACGTGCACTTGCGGGAGCAAGTACATTGGAAGGACAGAAAGAAGGGCTTCTATCCGGTTTTCTGAACATATTCCCAAAAACCTGTGCCTGAAAGGAAGCAGATATTCCCAGAGTGCAATTACCAGACACATTATTGATACCGGACATCTCGTAGAGATTTCTAAGTCCTTCAAAATATTAAATAGACAAAGGACAGCAAATTTACTACGATTTGCCGAAGCAATCGCAATCAAAAGACTTAAACCAGACTTATGCATACAGAAAGAGAGTGTGATTAACCTCTCACTCCCTTGGTAACAGAATTTTGATTTTGATTAGTCATCTAATTCAGTGATCTCAACTCACTGAACAAATCTTAATCTCATAAACTGTAACCGTTTTTGTTTCTTGAGTTGCTATGTGAACCTACAAGCTAACACTGTTCTGTTAATCAATTTTTTCTGTTTTCTGTCTTACCCCTCCCCCTCTTTTCAACTTTAAAAGCGTATAAATTGATGATGAAAACTTAAACTAAAAAATTGTAATGCTTTCATTTAGATGCGTCAATTTTATAGTATCTCTTTTCTACCACCACTCGAACATTAAAGTATGTTATTATCATCTATATAACCATTGTAATTTCAGGTAGTCTGCAGCTGATGAGAACCTGTGAAATAGAATGATATCATTTTATACTGCGAATTTTGTCTTCCTTTCCTTACCGAAATTTATCAAGGGAACTAAATTTATGAATACTCTCTACTAATTATGAAAATACGTTTGTGACCCCCTGATAAGTAAAAAAATGGTATTGGCAGTATGTGTATATGAGAGTTCACAAATACATATATATATATATTTCAGTCATAATGCTGTTTAAAAAAGACACATCTAGGACTCAGTGTAGTAAC